ATGCCACCGCCCTAATATAGGGTGCAGCCAAATTCCCTGCGGCCCCACTGACAGGCCCTGCCTGGAGATAACTCATTAACCAAGTGCCCACGTGGCCTGGTCAGGTATGAAACTGGGTCCCAGGACCCCGGTCCCTGGAAGACGATCTGCACTTACCCCGCAGAGCTGCCCCCGATGTTCCCGCAGCTCATGCACGTATGTGGGTCACTCACCCATGTCTGATCCAATCCCTCTTTATGGGCGAGGACCATCACTCCCAGGGCACTGAGGAGACGAAGGGCAAAGCCCCCCACTGGGGATGGGGCTAAGGCCTCGTGGGCACGGCTGTGGAAGCCGATATGCTCCTGGATCTGGACCTGGGACCCAGCAATTACTAGGGGTGGATTCGGCACTGGCCCAATTCTGCTTTGGAAATTCCCAAGGCTGTTCTTCGCCGGCCAGCAGGCTCCATCCTCCATCGCCCAGCAACACAAGGGGGCATGAACGTGACCATATCAGAGCGCAGGGGGGGGGCGTTTCACACGTGACAACGCCAGATGTAGGGCGAGGACGAATCAGGCCCCAGGGGTATTTAGCAGGGTTGCTCTGCCTCCCTGACGTCATCACTTGATTTGGTAGTTCTTCCTCCGGTCACTCCTTCGTGCTCCATCCCCAGCGCCAATGTGGAACCAACGCGAGCTGAGGCCTTGACTCCGCCGACCCAGTGCGAAACCAAAGGGGCTGCGTGGTTTGCTGGTGCGGCTCTACATTGCTCAGTTAGGCCCCCGGCTGTGACCTGACCCTTTCTTGCTGTAGCTGCATCATCCAGGCTTCCTGGGGCTTCCTCTATCCCAGCTGAAGCACAGCTCCAATGTGCAGTGCGGACGGGGCCTCGCTCATGCCCAAAGCTTTTGCTTGGCCCATCTGCACTAGATCCCAGGACCAGGATGGAACCTGCCTCCCTGCCTCCAGCTCTATCTGTGTCACAGACAGATCCTTAAATGACCTTCTGTCTGCCCCAGAGAACCATGAGGACCTGACCCAACTGCCTCTGCTCAAGCCTTGTTCCAGCTGCCTGAAAACCCCTCCCGCTTCCCCTCAGTCTGGGGCTCAGTCTGTCCTGGAACTGTTCTGTGTGTATCTGGACCAGTCCACAATGCAGGGCCTGCTTCTCCTCTTCCTCCAGCATGAATTAGGAGCAACTCCATTGAACCTCACAGCGAGCATTACATCAGTGTCAAACCAGTGCGAGTGAGGGGAGAGGTGGGCTCTAGAAACCTGATTCTATGTCACACTATACCTTGTAGCATCTGTCACACCAGTGGAAAGTGAAATCCAGGTCTTGGCTTCCCTGGGGAACTCTATGGCAACTGGACAGCTGGTGAAATAGGGATCAGCTAGGAGGGGGAGGGATTTTTAGACAGACTCTTTGAAATTATTTGGGGCTATTTTCTGTTGTTGTAACTCTGATGCCTAATAAACATCTGGGAGAAAGATGATTTTTGCTGAAGTGTCAATACCCCAACCCCCTCGGCATCAGAACTCACATCTCCAGGGCCTGCAGGAAGACCCTATTTCTATTGCTGAAGAAAAAAATGCAGAAACAAACACCCATCTTTAAAACAAAAATCTTTCATTCCTTCATCCACCATAGAACAGCAATCAGCTCTTTGGGACCGGGACTATGTCTGTGCAGCGCCTTGCGACGGGGGCGCTGCCGCGGTACAAATAATAAATCACAAACATGAATGCAGTACTCATACTCATGATGAAAGACCACACGCTCCATTGTCTGACCCATGTTGCAGGGCCCCTTTAAGGACCTGCTGTTTAGTTCAGATGTTTCTCCGGGCCAGAGCAGACTTCCTTAACACGGTGATGATGGCACCGTTCCATCCTCACCGCCAAGGCAAGGTGAAACCGTGTTAGCCCTCCTGGCCTGAGCCTAGCTTTGGTAGCAGAGACCCCGCACTTGGACGGAGAGAAAAGCAAAGGCAGTTGCCAAGCGCCACCTGTCGGACAAACCCTGCTCTTTGCAGTGACTGTACATGCAAGGCTGGGAATTTGGGTTTGGTTCCCGGGAGGGCAGATGCCCAGCTGGTGTTAATTGTCACAACTCTGGGCTTGCTCCCTGGGCCGGCAGGGGAGGGGCGGCCTGTCGGGATAATAGGACTAGCCACGGAGCCACGTGGGCTGAGTATGGAGCTCCAGCCAGTGCTCCTCGCCAGAAGCGTATCTACCGTTTCTCAGACACCTCCATCCGTCTGTCCTCACCCCCTTCCTCTCTTCCTGCCCACCCCCATCTATCGCCCTGCCCGCTCCAGCTAACCATGGAGATGGGAACTCTCAGAATTCCCACAGTCCCGTGGGAGCCCCTCCCGTAGCTGGGAGCAGACGAACACTTAGGAGCAGCTGACGCTTCGCCCTGATACACCCGCTGGGGCCTCTTGTCTTTCTCCCAGAGAGCTGGAAATTCCCCAGGGGCAGCAGGTGTGGGCTACCACCAGGGCAGTCAGGAGCCCCTTCCATCTGCCCTCTGGGGCCTTTCCCAAACCTCCCCCCACAGGGCACAGCCCTGAGCTGGTATAGGGGCCTGGTAGGGACCACGCGACGGGTAGTTTACTCAGGAGGCTCAGAGTTGGTAAGGTGAGGGGATGAGGGGACCCATCTTCAGTGGGGAGGGATCAGACCTGCCCTTCCCACCCATGGGCTGAGCGCTTGTGAAAATTCACCCCTAAGCGACTTGCCCGAGGTCCCACGACAGTCCCTTGAGCACTAGGCCCTTCCCTTCACTACAGTCTCCAGAGGAACGTTGTCTGGTCACTGGGAGACCCAGGGCTTCCCCGCAACACGATGGTTGTTACAGGCAGTTGTTCCTTCCCTCCCCGTGCATTTCCAACATTCCCAGCCAGGAGCCCAGCAGTGGCAGCCATACTCGGGGCCAGCCCTGGGTGTGGTATCACTCAGGGAATGTGTCCCCCCCCGCCCCCGCCTTCCCAAATGGTGGGAGCAAAAAAAACCCCCAAATCTCCCCAGGGATTTGGCAACCCTGAACGTTGGCACCCGATCGCCTGCCCTGCAGGCCGGCCCTCCCTGGCTACCCTGGACAGGGACTGTGCCTGTGCGAGGATCCCATTGGCACTGACCAGGATGGTGGAGAGCAGACAGAGGGCAGGGAGGAGGGTGCTGTTCCCCTCGGCTCAGTTTCTGCCTAGCTGGATGTTCAGCCCAGCCTCCTGCTGTCACCGAGCTGTTCAGAGAGGCCTGTCTCTCCCCATCCCCTCTGCTCCCCTCCTGCACCCATCCCCTACCCTGTTTTGTTCTGGAGCAAGGCGGGTGGTGGGGGGAAGGACCAAAGAGGTGACCCCCCCAGCTGGAATGCCTGCTGCTGCCCCTCCCACTCCTTCCCCTCCGGCACAGTGTGTGTTTCGGAAAAAACATAGAGATCAAGGGAAATGGTGCGGCGGTTCCTGTTCTAACGCCCACGGCCCCCGCGAGCGCCCGTCCCCTTGCCTCCTGCCCTGCACAGAGACAGCCGCAGGGTCGGGGCCGGGGACAGCTGCACAGGCAATGGCAGAGCTCGCAGCAGCGGGGGAACCAGCTCAGCCCCTGCTCAGCAGGGGGGTTTGTGCAGCTCGGGTGTCGTGGGTGCAGGCGGTCAGCCCCTCCGCTACTTGTAGCAACTCTGCGTCCCTGTGAGTGTGCACAGGGGTGTGCATGCCCACAGCTACGTGTGAGACGGGTATGGGTCACTGCAGGCACACGGATGCTGCATGTTTTGAGGTGTGCACGAATATATATTTGTGATGCACGTACCTGCGTGCGTGTAGTGTATTTTAAGTGCACGTGCTGTGTGTTTGCGGGCCTTTGTGTGTGATGTGCACGTGCATACATGTGGTGTGAGTGTGTTGCAGGAGAGGACTGTCCAACCCAGATCACCCCCTTGGGCCACCAAGTCCGGTAAGCTCACCCCAGCAATGCTCAGTTCCCCGTGCTCAAGAGGAAACCAGCAATCCCCTGGCCAGTAGCCCAGTGCTGTGTGGGGCGGTGAGAACAACTTTCCTGACTCCACAGCGTGCCAGCCACGGATGCCCTGAAGCATGAGAGCTCGTCTCTCAGCACATCTCGTCCAAATACCCGGCCCCTTTCTTAACGCCTGTCCCAGGGTGTGACTGGCTGGGGCCAGGAATCCCGCAGGCCGTGTGCAGCTGTGGATTTAACTGCCATAGGGAGGTTGCCCGGATAAACCCTGCAGAGGGGATTTCAGAAAGGTTGGGGGCAGGCAGTGCCATTTTTCTTTCAGCTCATCCCCCTACCAAGGCTGGAGAAGAGGATGCCGCCCGTCGGTGCCCAGCCCCAGTGGCTAGATTGCAAGGGGTATTGAGCATCAGAGCAGGAGAAGCAGGAGGAGAGGGGTCTGTTACCAGAGGTGCATATAAAAAGTGGCACCTGCAGGTGTGTGCATGCGGCTCTAGTGCCTGCAACGCTCACCGTTTAGTGGCACGTTGGGACAATAGCCTCTGTTGCAGGACAGCCCCTGTTTGCACGGAGTCAGTTGCAGGAACAGGGCAGGGGATCTGGCCCTGGAAACTCAGGTACTTTGGCCCTTTCTCCAGCCTGGATCCCCCCCCTCCCCCATGTCTACTTCATGCGAGCTCCCACCCTGTGGCTGCTGCGTCTTCTGGGTGCTGCATTGAGTCCCCACCCTGCCACAGTGAGGAAACCCCCCACGGCCCTTGTGCCCGGCCTGCTGCTCAGAGGGGAACAGCGTGAAGGGGCAAAGAGCTGGTGTCCCATGCCGAGGACGCCAGCGTGAATGGTCAAGAGTAGCTGGGTCTGGCGGAAGGGGCTCAGCTCAGGCACAGACCATAGCATGGGGGGGCTGAGCACAGACTGAAGCAGGGAACGGGCACCAAACCCTCCGTCCTGACCCCCACTGGGCATGAGGCCTGTGGGGAGGAGGATGGGCCAAAGGCAATTCTCCCCAGCCCAAGGGCCAGACTGGGGGTCCCCCTTCCCCTTCAAGTTTGGCTGCTGGAGGATGAATCGTAGCCGGGGGCGGGGTCCTGCTGCCCTGGTGTGTGGATGCGCTGGCTGGCCACAGGCTGGGCACAGCTGGAGCCCACGCATCTCAGGCCTCTAATGAGTAGATCCAGCTTCGTTATCCGGCAGCCAGCGGCCTGCAGGGCTGAGCCACGTCCGGCTGAGCCGCTGTAATCGCCGCCTGCCATCGCTGCTCCGGGAACACACGCGCCTTGACCTGCTTTCCGACGCCCACGCTCCCCCCAGCCCCTTTCCTCCCGCTCCGCTTTGCTGTGAGGCCTTCTGCTGCCTGGCAGCCCCCACACGCCGCCCCCCTGCCTGCAGAACGTGCATGGCCTGCCTCAAAACCTCAGCTGCAGACCAAGGCAGTGCCTGCCAGCAGATCAGAGCGGAGCGGGGAGGTGTTTGGGGGCAGTAGTTTTCGCTGGCTGTACAGGAGGCTGCAGGGACAGGAGTGTGGTTTAGTAGTTAGAGCAGGGGGCGTGGGAGCCGGAACTCCTAGGTTCTGAGCTCTGGAGTTGGAGAACCGTGGGTTAGTGGGTAAAGCAGGAGTCTGGGCAGCCGGACTCCTGGGTTCTTTCCCCAGCCCTGGGGTGGGGGAGTGTCACGTAGTGAGAGCAGGAATTCTACAGTCTATTCCCAAGCTCTGCCACCAACCGGCTGCTTGACCCTGGGCAGGTCGCTTAAGTGCTCCATGGTTCTCCATCTGCAGAATGGGGATAAGCTGGACCCACCTCGCAGGTGTCTTTAAAGCGCTTTGCAGAAGCAAGGTGCTAAGTCATATTAATTGCTCTTAAACATCCTGTCTTACCAGCGAACTCTCTCTCACCACACACCCACCTCAGCCTCCGACCGGCCCGTCAGTCACCCTCCTCGCTCCCCCTCGCCCTCCACTCTGTCTGTCTAAGCCCCACACTCGCCCTCTCCCAGTTCCTCTGCAGCACCAGCTCGGAGGTTACGTAGGAATCTAAATCCGCGACACTGGTGGCGTATGGGCAGCAGAGGGCAGCCTTGTGTCACTCAAAAGCTTGGCTCTGTTTCTCCACGGCAAAGCAGTCAGTCTATGCAACCCCCCACCCCAGGGTGCGCGGTGCCCTGGGGTGCTATTTAACAGAAACTCCCTGTGATTAAAAATCACTGGCTAATTCTGCCCTACTCTGGGGGCCGTCTGCATGAGCAGCGACTCTCCCTTGTTCTATCCTGTGATCCCACTAGGCTGTCCGCTGTGTGTCCTATACCGATGGAGCTCTACCGGGGTCCGGGGCCCCTTGGGGGGCTGCAAACAGGTTTCAGGGGGGGCTAAGCAGGGCCAGCATTAGACTCACCGGGGCCCAGGGCAGAAAGCCGAAGCCGTGCCGCATGGGGTTCAAGCCCGGGCCCTGAGCCTTGTCACCCGAGGCCGAAGCCTGAGCAATGTAGCTTTGCGGGGGCCCCTGTGGCGTGGGACCCCAGGCAGTTGCCCTGCTTGCTACCCCCTGACGCCAGCCCTGGCTTTTATATGCAGAAAGCCCCTTATTGTGACACAGGTGGGCCGTGGAGAAAAAGGTTGAGACCCCCTGTCCTATACCACAGGCGCTTCGATCCCTTGGCCCCGTGACCCTGCCAGGGGGTCTTCGGTCTGAGGCGAGTTATTTATCTGGGCAGAGCCAGAGGGCATGGGGCACGCTCTCATCTCTGCTGGCCCCACGCCCCTGGGGCTGCAGGGTCGTGGAACAGGCTGCAAGGAATGCCACTGAACTGGCTGCCTTGGGCAGCCCAGGATGGAAGCATGGGGAGAGTTTAGTGGTGACACACACACACCCGGGGCCCCCCGCACGCGTCGTGATGCATTGTGCACAAGCTGGACTACACCTGGTGAAGGGGACACATGGGATCTTCCCCCCACTCGCCCCCTCGCTAAGATGAGAGGCTCAGGGGCGCTCTACAGCCAAACGGATTGTAGGGCTAGCTGCACTCATCTTTGGAGGCCTGTGCACATGTGTATTCCCATATGTGTATGTGCATGTGTACATTTATGTGCTTTGCGTATGTGAAGGGGTACATATATGTCCAAACGCTTGTCTGTGCATGCATGTATGTGCACGTTCACACCTGTGTTCACATGCAGGCGGCCGAGTGCGTGCGTGCACGTTCCCACAGACGAGACCGAATGTGTGTGTGCGTGCACACAGGCGAGCCTGCTGGCCCGTGCACGCGCTGGGTTCCTGGGGTGATGCGCTGCAGCTGTGGGCCAGGTGGGCGTGGGCGTGAGCACAATGTGTAGGTGTCAGTGCAGAGACAGGAACCAAAGCGCAGTTGTAAATCATTCCAGACTCAGCTCGGCCTCCCCCCTCACGGGGAGCCGGGTCCCGGCTGCCTGACGCCCGCCCAGCAGCTCCGACCTGCCCAGCCTGAGCCGAATCCTGGAGCAGAGCCTTTCCTACCCATGGGGGTCTCCGAACCCGAAGTGGTTCAGCCAGGGGCTGGGGCTGGAGCTGCCTGGGGGGTCGGTAACAGCTCACAGGCTGCCTCGGAGGTGGCCTGGATGCAGGGGCTGCCCCATGCTGTTCAGGAGCTTTATCTCTGCCCCAGATCAGGCCCCCTGCTCTGAGCCCAACCCCCCAGCCTAGAGCACTGCCCACCCAATCAGACCCACAGATCTGTCCCAGCAGCGAGAGGGTTAACTGGAATTGGTTCTTGACGCAGCCTGCAGCAAGCAGGAGCCAGGCTGCTGGGAGGAGAGGGGTGGGTGGGAGCCCCCCACCTCCCTGAATCACTCATCATCATTCACAGAAACAGGTCAGCGCCTGTGCAAGGTGGCTGGGCTCCAGGGAGCGTGATTAGCTGGGAACCAGCCCCCCGGGGCCCAGGGGGGCCCCACCTGCCGCAGGAGGCTCCTTAGCAGGGGGGAGGGGGGGAGTTAAGCCCAGCTCAGTGCTCAGAGGGAGCAGGAGGTTGCGATATTGAACTGAGCTGGGGCTCCGGACTCCTGGGTTCTGTTCTTACCTATAGGCGGGAGTGGAGTCCAGCGGTTAGAGCAGCAGGGCGCTGACCCACAGGACTGCTGGGTTCTGTTCGGGGGGGGCGGGAGTGCTGCCTAGTGGTTAGAACAGGGCGCTGACCCACAGGACTGCTGGGTTCTGTTCGGGGAGGGGTGTGCTGCCTAGTGGTTAGAGCACTGACCCACAGGACTCCTGGGTTCTGTTCTCAGGTGGGGGGGAGGAGTGCAGCCTAGTGGTCAGAAGAGCAAAGGAGAACAGAAGACAGGACTGTTTCCAGTCACTTTTGCCCCTGTGCAAGTGGCCTCCCCCTCTGTGCCTCAGTTTCCCCATCTGCACAATGGGGCCGACGACACTGACCCACCTTTGTAAAGTGCTTTGAGGCCAAAGGCTAGAGGAGGGGGTTACTCGGCAGCCTTTATTTTAACCGCAGCCAGGGCTGAGGTCTGTGGGGCCCAGATCCTCCGCTCCTCGCCTGGCCTGTGCCTGCCACATTCCAGCGGCTTTGGCCCAGCCAGGGAGGCCCCCCCACCCCTGTGTTTGCCCTTTGCAGCAGGGCCGGGGCCTGGCCAGTGGCAGCGGGAGGGGCACTCTCTGACCCGCCCAACCACAAACAGAGTGGGGGGGTTGGAGGAGTGAGGCAGAGCCCAGGCTCCCTGCAGGCCCACTCACCCCATCTGCCCCCAGGGCCCGAGGCTGTCAGCAGCCCCTCAAGGGGCCTTGCAGATCATGTTCTGTAGCCATACACTAGAGTCAGGGCTCCTGGGTTCTGTTCCCAGCTCTGCCAGAGCCCTCCTGTGTGACCATGGGCAAGCTGCTCTCTGCCTCAGTTTCCCCATCTGTAGAACTGGGAGGCTCTGGGGGTTAAACTTCCCTGGCTGGACCCCCGGCTCTTGCTGCAGAGAGTTCGTGTCATCTCAGATTGGCCTCTTCTCTCAACTTCTGGCAGCCCTTTCTCTGCCGCCTGACCCCTAGGCCCCGAACGGAGCCACCCCCAGAGCAACGGGCCAGCCTGAATGCAGAGGGGAGAGAGCTTGATGCTCGAGCCCCTACTCCTGGGACACCCCCTGAGCCTATCCTTGCACCATTCAAAATGATCCTCAGCTTCTCTGCTCAGGAGAGGGCTAAAGCCGCGGCAGGGGCTGTGGGTCCGGATTGAGCAGCACTGAAGTGCTGGTGGGGGGTAGGGCTGGAATAGCAGGGGTGCTGCCAGCTAGTGGGGTGCTCTGGCAGAGCGGGGGGGACGACATGTCTGTGCTTTGGAGCCAGCATGCTTGGCTTCTCCCTTTCCGACAGACCTGCAGCCAGATCCAGGGTTCAAAGACTGAGTCGCCCTCACCCTGTGATCCCCTTCAATCCACATCCCCTTCTGCCCCCCGGAACCTGCCAGCCGCCTCGGCTCCCACGCTAGCCTTGACGAGCAGCTGCGCTGGGGCGAAGGTGCCCGTGGGCGAGCATCACCGCTCTGACAGCTGCGGGGCACTGGGGCCCTGCTCTCTCTGAACCCCATCCGGGGTTACCCAGTGCTCCGGGCCCATCAGCTTGCTTGTAACCCCAGACGACTGAGCCACCAACCCCCTGTCCTAGCCCAGCAAGCCCCTCTCCTGTGTCAGCCCCTAGGTCAGGTGATCCAACGGGAAGAGGCTGCCCCAGAGAGAGCCCCCTGGTTTGTCCAGGGCTTTGCTCCGTCCCAGGAGAAGGCCGAGGCAGAGAGGACGTGACCTATGAAGCTCAGAGGTATGGGGTTCCCTGTGAAGGGTCAAGGCCTTGGTTTAAGGAGCTCCCAGTCCCCAGGGACACACACTAGGTTGGCCAGATATCCCGATTTTATAGGGACAGTCCCGATATTTGGGGCTTTGTCTTATATAGGTGCCTATTACCCCCCACCCCATGTCCCGATTTTTCACAGTTGCTGTTTGGTCACCCTAGCACACACTCACGTGGACACACACACGCATGGACACACACACGCATGCACGCACACACGGTGGGGCCCCTCTGCCCTCCCCAAGGCTGCAATCCAGCCTGAGTTGCTCCGTCCCCCCTCTGCCCAGGCCGGCTCGTTTTGCGTTTGGAGCCAGCACCAGCGGATGAACCGTTCTGCTCCAGAGAGAGCCTGACGTCAGCAGGGGAACTCGAGGGCGTCAGTAGTGCAGCAGCGTCGCCTTCCCAGCCTCAGAAACACACCCGCAGCTGCTGCCACCCTCAGCAA